CCATGTCTCAGTGGGTTGTAGATGTTTTGGTGGCACCAACAGCATATTAAGTAGTCACCGGCATATATTTAACCAAAAATTATGCAGAAGCCTCAACAACTAAATATATCATTCATTTTTTTCAGTATTTAGTGTGAGGGCTTCTTATTGTCTACACACACTTTCAAACTCACACTTTTATCTTCTCACAGAGGAAGCACCTGTGAATGTTTGCAGATCTGATGCAAGAGTGGAGCTCAAAAAAAATTCGTTAATGTCTCAAAAACGAAAGCCTTAAGTACTGTTCATCCAACTGTGACAAATTTGTGGTTCACCAGGTCTTGCACCGTTGTTAGAAGTCTCATTTTCTCTACATTTAATCATTTTCTGAACTCCAGTTTTGGAGAGTGAGTATGAAGTATGAAGATCAGTACCAGAATAATAAGCCTGTAAATTAAGAGGTTCCTTTTGACATCAACTGTGGTTGTAGTAAGGGCACAGTTTCTCTTCGAACTACATTTCTAATCAAGCATGTCACATGGCTTGTGTGGTTTGTTCACTTCCTGTGATGTGCTGCAGATGCGTTCGTGCACTCACACTTCTCTATATCACACATGCAGACATGCCTCTCAGTTTGTCTCACCAATTTTTATCCTAGTTCTGAAAAGAATAGAATAATACCAATACCAACAACAACAACAACAACAACAACATCATCAACAACAACAACAACAACAACAACAATAATACTAACAGTGTGGCAGTACCACTGGACTTAACATTTGGGCCAGTTGGGGGAGGGGAGAGGAGCACATAGAAGGCTCCCAGCATGCCTTGCATCTCTCTGCAGCCTTTATTTCGTTTGAATTTGATGGGCTAGGTGTTGGTGTTTAATGTGGTAATATGAGTTATGTTTTGGTTGTGATTAATCACCATGAGCTATGCTTTGACTTTCAGTGTCACTGGTGGCACCAAGAGGGCACTAGACAGTGTTGCAGTTAAACCTAGCTTCCCCACTGCAACCCCAGAAATGTAGGTAGTATTAATATTGTATTAAAATCATTATAATAGGTTACTTCTATAATAATACTGATATGATAAGTGGGTGTACTACATGAATACAACAGTGTGAATTCTGGGATGAAGTCTGTGGTTGGAATGGTTCACCTATTAATGGGAAATTCTTTCTGCATAAATATGTGGTTAAGATGTGAACAAAGTCATTCAGAGAGGTTGCATATGAAATGCTCAGTTCTTGAGAACTTATTAAGTCAGAATTGTTCACAGTGGTGGTGACAGGAATTTAATGCCTGTAAAAACTACCTCACTGAAAGCTATTGCACTGTTTTAAGCTATTGTTAAGTTTTTAAAATGTATTTTATTTTTTACCTCCATCCCGCCCCTGCCAAAAAAAGATTTGTTTTTATACTTACCACTATTTTACCGCAGTAAAATGTCCTATTTTCTGACATCACTTAAAAACATATGTATGTTTACTGATCATACTGGATAGTAATTTAAATGGCTATATTTTCGTTCATAGGCCCTGGTTTCTATCACTACCACAGTAAAGAAATCCTTCACATCAAACCACTCTGAATGACTTTGTTAGCATCTCAACTATTGAATTATGCAGACTTTTTGAAAAATGGGATCCCATTTAACTCACTCACTGAGATCTGATCACCTGAATTGAATGTATTGTAATTAGACGGGGTGGTAAAGCATAATTGCTGGTTTATCAAGGTGACGTGAGTAATCTCATCTGAAATCTCTTAGCAGTGACGCTTGCTTACGTGTCAAGAAGTCAGTTATCAATCTATCATAGATAAGTAAAGGGCCAAACTGACCTTCTACAACATTAAGTAGGGCAAAAATCAAGAAAGTTCATGAAGACGTTTTATTATAAAGTAATAGGATGGCCAAAAATGTAAATTATACCATTCTACTCTTAGCTCAAATGTAGCTACAGTTAGGCAATGTAGCAAACAAGTTGCGCATGTCTAAGTCATCACACATTTGCCTCACACATTTGTCTTATTAAGGTCTTGTGTGAAAAAAAGTGAAACAAAAAATAATAATAATAATAAAACAAAACAGAAGGCCGTTCTAGTGGCCCTGCAGTTGGGTGACTGAAAAAAGACCCCAATGTCCCAATAGACCAATAAACGTGTTCACAAACAGTGCCAACGTTTAAGCCCCTTTTCACCAGTGGTGATCCGTGAATATTAGAGCAAAGCCTTTAGTTCAAACCATACAAAACCCATTTCTATGATAATGCTAATTTCTGCTAACGTCCCTATAGGATTCTAGTAGTTTGTTAATTTTAATCTAACGATGATTCACATAAAAATTCTTTGGCCATTCTAGAATAAACACAGACATTGAAAGCTTCTAAACAAAATTCCATTAGTATTTACCTTGTAGCAGTTTCACAGTGACTCAGTAGAGAGGCCTAGTACAGAGCTGCTGCCACTGATTTACATTTCTAACAGCCCACTGATTAGGCTGCCTCTCATACACACAGACAGTGACGTATCTGGGACTTCCAGAAGGCCTAGAGTGACCTTTTGTCTCACTAAATTGGTCCCGCCAATGATTGGTTAATTCCACTGACACTTCGTCATCTTGCTGGCATTACTCCTTCCTTTCAGCTCCTGAAGTCCTACAATTGCCTAGATGCCACAGAAAAAAACAATTGCTGATTGGCCGATTTTCTGCTAGGTGTTCCATGGTTCAGAACTATTCATGCTGAAAACGTCACTGTCTGTTCAGTGAATGCATCCTGCTAAAATACCGTTTAAGGGCTGTTTGTGTAAATGATGCAAAGCCTGAACATTACCTGTAAAAGTATCCCAATAATGTTAACTCATCTTACTATCGCATAGCCCACAGAGCTCAGAGCGTAGCTCACAAAGCAACACTGCTGAAGGGGCTTAACACATTTACTCGCCTGTTTGCTAAGCAAATTAGCTTAGATAGCAAGACTAGCAAGCTGCATTAATTATTAAATGCAGTGCCATCATACTCTTATAGCTGATCAGTAACTATCCTGATGGCAGATTTTCACCATAAAGTGTAATTGATGCTTTTTTGACAATCGCTGATAGCTGATAACTGTCTAAATTCTTCCAGTTTCCATAATAGGGGTGGCCAGAAGGCAGACTATGCTTTAACTTAAGTTCTAGACGGGACAAACCTTCATATTTCGACTCCTTAATGACAATGTAATTATTTCGACTCCTTAATGACAATGTAATTATTTCGACTCCTTAATGACAATGTAATTTAAGGATCCAGTGGCATTTACTAGAAAAATGTATGTAGGATGAAATGTATCAGGTTTGGAACCCTTCTGTTGACCACAGGGCATGATAGCAGCGATTTCCGAAAAGCCCATTCATTTTTCGATAGAGAAATCTTGCTTAGACCAGAGTTATGCATAATAACTAATGTGGACATGATGCCAACTACAGAATGCTAATACAACTTTAGTGGTCTATTGTTTGGCTGTCTGTCTGTTCGTGCCTATAAGTCAGTAGTTCATGCAATTTAGAGAGAGATTTTTTCGATGTAGGCCTCCTGAACTCAATTAGAAAGTGGTGGGTTGAATGCCTGCTCATCCCTGTGGTTCCACCAGCCATGATTATCTATCAAAATGGATGAAAGTATAGATAAAATAGATGCATAGATAATTGCATAGATAGAAAAACAGTAGTAGCAGCCACCTGAAAGCCTGAATTTTGTCTGCACTGTTTTCTAATTTAGCAGTACACCATACAGTGGGTAAATCGCAGTCTATTTGAAATTAGCATCTTGATGCGGAACGACTGTGTGATGATATACACTGTAAATAATTACAGGCTACTAGCTGCATTACTTTCACAGTAACTTACTCAACCACAAATAACAATAAAACAGCAACCGTATAATGTGAATTCAGTCACCTGCAACACATGATTACTGTGATATAGCTGTGCTCTGCTGTACACTTACAAAAATAAGATGTCATTGAAATATGGTCATCTCCTGTGTTTTTACAGACTATAAAAGGCAATATCAATGAACAAAAACAAGTTTTTTGAAAAAATCCAGCATAAAACATTCTTTAAAAATCGTTAACTCTCAGTTGCTGTCATATCCCATAAGACTGTGCAGTACACCTCAACGTGAACCTCAGTCATTTGAGATGAGTTTGAATTTAAGAATTAATTTAAGATGAGTTAATTTCACAATAAAATGATGAATGTAGTATTTTACTGTCAAACATTAATGTTGAATATAGTGAAATCCTCGCAGAAGCTCCTGATGCACAGTTCTTTTGCTGATGTTGCTTCCAGAGGCAATTTGGAACTCTTCAGTGAGTGATTCAACAGAGGATGGACACTCGGTGGCCCCACTTTGTAAGTTTTGCCTGGCCTACCGCTTCATGGCTGAGCTGTTGTTACTCCTAGGTGCTTCCATTTCATGGTAATAGCACCTACAGTTGACAGGGGCAGATCTAGCAGGACAGAAATTTTACAAACTGATTTGTGGCACTATGACAGTGCCACGTTTAAAGTCACTGAGCTCTTCAGTACGACCCATTTTACTGCCAGTGTTTGTCTGTTGGGACTGCAAGGCTACGTGCTCAATTTTACCCACCTGTTAGTAATGAGCGTGGCTGAAACTCATTGAACTCAAGAATTAGGAGGTGTGTCCCAATACTTTTGTCTGTATAATGTACTATTGCTCATTACCCATATTAGCCTTGCAGCACTGGTTTATGAACAATAACTTGTCTGATGGTTATCTTGTCTGATTACATTTTCAGGAACGTTAAAATTGTGTAAACGTGACTCTGAACTGACCACTTCTTCGTCAAAGATGAGTCACCACTACATGTCAGACGAGACACATGTCACGACTACTGCCCTGCGACATCAAGTGTCATTTCGCAGATGGATCTGTATTTTAAGGAAGAGGAAGCTCATCTGGTAGGAAGTGGTAATCCATGGAAAATATATTGGTGTGTTCTTTGAAGTGTTGTAGTAACAGTTCACAGGCAGGACTTGAAATTCCTGACTCTCAAGTACTTCCCTGGAATGGATTTACTTTGGTACTTTCCAAACCTAAACAGTTGTGTTAATTGTTTGGCGTATCAGCTGCATCTTCCCCCGCACTGAGATAGTATTTAAGCTGTCTAGACTTCCTCTCAGACACACAGCAACACAGACAGGCACGAACAGAGACACACATACAAGCATGGCTCGACTGGATGTTACAGAGACCTTTCATGGCATCACTTACCCTGGACATCTGCACACTCAGGACACATTCCAGTATGCTATGGACTTCAAATTTCAGGATACAGACACTTTGATTGTGACATACCCCAAATCAGGTAACATCTCTCAGCTTTTTTGAGAACAATTCATTATTGCCACGCCAACATTGTTGGTTCGAATTTGCCTTAGTGGGCTCACAGACCATGTCCCCATTGGACTGTGCCTTTTTCAGGCAGTTTAAAACCTATTTTGCCCTTCTTTTCTTTTTTCTTTTTGTTCTGCAGCTTTTTAAAGATTCACACATGAACGAAAGAATGTAGTTTTATTAGTTTTATACATTTAGAGAAAATAAATGTTGAACCTGTACCCATCAAATGGCCAGGAGCTGCTGGAGGGTCCAGGCTTCCATTACTCACTACTGTAGCTTAAGAATAAATCAGACAGATCACACTGTTTGTCATGTAGATACTGAAAAATAAATTTAACCCCTTAAAATCCCAGGCTGATTACATACTAAGGCTTATTATTCAGTAACTACAGGGACTTCAATGCAAACTGGCTGAGCTGTTAGGTTATAAAAGTGTGTAATAAAACTGTGGGTCGGCCGGTGGGCCCTGGTCGTTTAAGGGGTCAAGTCTTTTTTTTGACCAAATTCAAAATAAACTGTATTGCACATCATGCTTATACATAGGCTACTATAAAGCATTTATATAAGGAACAGTATTGTTGTCTTTTACTGCATGACTTCAGTTTCTCTGTAAAGTCGAGCATCTACTGAGCCCTAGATAAAATCACCCACAATCTGACATTTCAAGCTTGAGGTTACCTGGTTTCCATTTCATCACGTTAACGTCATCCTCCTCTTCTTCCTGGAAAACCTCAGGAACGACATGGATGCAGGAGATGGTCACTCTGGTGTCCAGCAAAGGGAACCCAGTCAGGGCTCAGACACAGCCCAACTGGTTGCGGGCCCCCTGGCTGGAGCAGTATTACTGTCCCGACGTCCTGAAGGTGTCTCAGGGACCTCGTCTCTTGACCACTCATCTGCCCTACCAATTACTCGCCACTGCTCTTCAGGGCTCCAAGGCTAAGGTAACCACCAGACATATAGGGTTAAACATATATTCGTAAAGGTTCTAAATGGATCTCAGCTTCAAACCACAATCCACGCAGCTCAAGCAGAATTAATGGAAAACAGCTCATGTATAGTTCATTGAAAACCTGGTAATGCCTCCTTCTACAGTCCCCTAAGTTCTAGGTATTAATCAGGTGAGCAGGTGGGACAAACTCCACAGTACTAGGTACTTATTTTTTAACATGATGAGTCAGTTGTGAGACTAAATCACACTATTAATTAGCTTTTAACAGGTCAGTGTGAAGTACAAATTCAAGAGTACTAGATAATTATCTTGATATTATACCGAGTAACATGATGGGAAGTTTCGAAGCAGTTTAAATTATGCTGAAATGTCAAACAGGTTCTAGACTGAGTAAGTGTAGGGTACAATCTAAATATCTAGAAGTTTGGCATTTCAGTGTAACTTAGTCAAACTAGCCATGATGTTACATAAAATATTTATCTAGTACTGTGGAGATTGTATCTTGCACTTACTCAGCTAATATCTAGAACATGTTTGGCATTTCAGTGTAATTAAACTGTCTCAAACAGCTACGATGTTATGTAAAAAATGGATCTAGTACTTTGGAGATGTACCGTGCACTTATTCAGCTAATACCTAGAACATGTTTGGCATTTCAGTGTAGTTTAGTTAAAGTGTCCCGGAACTAACCATAATCTCACATTAAATCTTTATCTAGTACTTTGGAGATTGTATCTTGCACTTACTCAGCTAATACCTAGAACCTGTTTGGCATTTCAGTGTAATTTGTTTAAAGTGTCCCGGAACTAACCATGATGTCACATAAAATCTTTATCTAGTACTTTGGAGATTGTATCTTGCACTTACTCAGCTAATACCTAGAACCTGTTTGGCATTTCAGTGTAGTTTAGTTAAAGTGTCCCGGAACTAACCATAATCTCACATTAAATCTTTATCTAGTACTTTGGAGATTGTATCTTGCACTTACTCAGCTAATACCTAGAACCTGTTTGGCATTTCAGTGTAGTTTAGTTAAAGTGTCCTGGACCTAACCATCATGTTACTCAAAGTGATGGTGCAGTTACACATTTATCTGGGTAACACAGAGATGTTGGCGGACTGTAAAAAGGTGTTACCATGGAAACCTCACTACGTTTAGCTGATTTTCTTTTTTTCTTTTTTTCAGGTTATATATGTGGCAAGAAATCCTAAAGATGTGGTCGTGTCCTATTACCATTTCCACAAAATGGCCAACTTCCTGCCCAACCCAGGCACATTTTCTGAATTTCTGAATGCTTTTATGGAGGGGACAGGTTAGTAGAAGTTATGACATTATCAGTTATGACATTTTCAGTTATGACGTTGGTCTAAGATTGTGAATTTGGTCCACTATAAATAACTCCTGCTTTTCTTTCTAGTGCATTATGGGTCATGGTTTGACCATGTGAAAGGTTGGACCAGTAACGCAGGAAACATTCACAACTTTCTTTACATCACATATGAAGACATGTCAGAGGTAAGACCAGCATCTTCATCAGCCCTATACTTTCTAAAAGAAGGCTGATTCATCTTTCTCCTTTGATTTATATTTCATATGCTTCCTATATATTCATAACCGTAGCTTAGGTTTTTTGTCTACTTTTACTTATTTTTTTTACGTTAATGAAGTTACTGAACAGTCCAAAATGAACTGGAATAAAATCTTACATTGCCTAAAATTAAATTACATCACATTAACTTGCATTAAAAGTTATGAATGTTTTTCTTGTCTCTTAAAATTACCATGAGTTAAAATGTACTCATTATGGCCTGTATTAGTACATATTTGGAAGTTTGTTATGTGACAATCACCAATAATTGCATTATTGATAATGTAATTGGTCACATAAAATGACTTATTTTCCTTACTTTTTGGAAAAAAGAGTAAAAAAGTAATTATATCACAAGACCCAGCTCATTTACATATATACACCTATTCAGCCTACAGCAGATAAGACCCGGCCCATTCATACTGAAGTTCTAAGCAGTGTGTCAGCTCTGAGTGCTTTCTGATAGGGTGATAGGGTTCAATGCAGGGCAGCCAATCAGAACAAAGCTCATTGACATATATCAGTCTTAAAGGCACAGTAGCTTGTTTTTTCCTAAGGGATAAGGAGGTTGGAAAATGGTCATGTAAAAATGAATTATGACCATTTTTGGTACATAAAACTACAAAAATGTTATAAAATGCAACATAAAGTGTTGCCCATTTTGGAGATTTTGCTCTGATATTATGAACTATATTGCTTTGCTGCAGGCTGTACATTTTACTGTACACTTTACTGTACAAACTGAATTGAAAAGAGATTTCTGAATTGCACTGACAAGTGGTTGTTTTCTGTGCAGGACCTGCATGGTTCTCTGGAAAGAGTGAGCAGCTTCCTGCAGTGCCCCCTGGCGGAGGAGGAGTTAACCAGCGCCGAGAGGTGCTGCAGCTTCAGCAGCATGAGAGACAACTCCATGGTCAACTACACACTTGTTCCCGAGGACATCATGGACCACAGCAAAGGCAAATTCATGAGGAAAGGTAAGTCTTCAAAGCCTTAAGCCTGTCAGACCTGTTTAAATCATTAATTAAGCAGTCTGATGAACTCATGAAAAGGAGTTAGAAGACTTACTGTTAGGTTTGTACATTAAACTGTAGTTTCTACATGCCTTAAACAAGCCCCAACTTCCCCTTTTGGCAGGTAAAACTGGAGACTGGATGAGCAATTTCTCAGAAGAGCAAAGTCGTAGCTTTGACAAAGTGTTTGCTTCCGAGATGTGTGAATCCTCTCTGGAGTTTGTGTGGAAGAATCCTGAAGAAACTTCTCTGAAATCCAGGACAGACACAGAACCCTTGCCTCACCATGCAGCATGAGGATCCCTGTTGTTAACCATACTTAGTTTTGTATTTATGATGAAGCCTTTATTTTTATATTCCTCCTTTGGTAGCTTGTTTGTTTCACTGTCCCAACCAAGTGCTGCTTCTGGTGAATATGTGTGTTTATGTGATCTATGTAATTTTTTTATATAATACTCATACTACCTGTGATGGGCTAGCAACTGTGTGTTATATGTGAATATGGATATTTAATGTAAAGTTAAAATATTTAGATTGAGATAAGATGAGCTTATTTTTTAATAAAAAAAAAAACTTTATTTGAAGAATCCTGTCCTGATTTTTCATGTCACTACCAAAACATCAAGAGTTTTTGTCTGTAGGTGGAGCCTTGTTTTAGCCACACCCCTGCATTTGAGAGTAGGAAGTGAGACCACATCCCCTCAAATCAGCAATGAAGTACGCAGAAAACATACATTTACCAGAAAATCACACAAAAACCCCAACAATGTAAAATCATATATAATATCAAATGTTTTAATGCGTAGTGTGTCCACCCTTTGCCTTTATTACAGCTTCCATTTATTTCAGGAGACTTTTTAAAATAAATCTGCAAGGATGTTTTTCCACAACTCCAAAGTTCAGTCTTAGAAGTTGGTTGAATTTTCTGCATCTCATGATCCAAATAATCCTAAACACATTCAGTGATGTTGAAGTCTGGACTCAGGAGCGGTCAGTTCATTATTCTGAAAACACCAGCAGCTTCTTTTCTTATGTGTTTACTTTTCTCAGTAGTGACTTCTTGACAGCTACACATCCTTTCATTAGCATTATTGATGTTATATCAAACCTTAAATCTTTTTGAAATAATACTAATTACAATGATCATAAATTACTTAGAAATAAATGTGGTTCAATAATAAATATTAATAATAAAGGATGAAAAAGTCTTGTGTTATATTTAAAGTGTCTTGTATGCAGCATGTTTCTGGTGGAAATCCTTCATCCTTCATATAAACATGAGCATTAAATGAAGCCTGATTTTACAGCCATTTGTGAAAGGTGAACTTCTCTAGTTCCTAATGTGTCGTATCTGTCGTACAACAGTCCAGGGTGTTGTCATTCACATGTTCAACTGGCTTAGTAATTTTGTCCGTGGTGTTTTTTTCAAAAGCATCATATTCCTCTGAACTGTATAGCTTTACCCAGAAGGATAAGCGGTTTAGATGATGTGTGTGTGTGTGTGTGTGTGTGTGTGTGTGTGTATAGCTTGGTTCCATCAAGAGAGAAGAGAAAAGCCAATGGTTGAAGCTCCTCATGGTGGGAGCACAATTTAGCCCACAGCACTTCTATTTTAATGTCTGTCTTCTGCATCAATCACTTGTCTGGTGTGCTTTTGTGCCTCATTCTTCTCCTGATTCCTGATGCCTCTTCTGCCTATGAGATCTTGTCCTGTCTGTGTTCCAATCTGTCAGCCTCCTCCTGCTGTTCATAAGGATATATGCCAAAGAAGAGGCGTCTCTTCTGATTGTTTGTCAGAATCTTACATAATCCATCACATTCCACAACAGGTTTGTTATGAAGACCTTAATGATCAGAAATGATTAAAGTGCTTATGCAATTAAAGTGAAGTGTCACTCCGTCCATTAGACTGGAAGCTACAAATTAAAGCATAGATACCTGTTAATAAGCAAAAGCAGATGCAGCAGATGTATCAAAACAGCAGCAGCGCCTTAACAAGAACTAGTTTTTTTAAGGTGGCGACCAAAGCATAGGTAATGTCTAGAATTTGACTTTAGGCCTGCTCCCAGCTAGGCGGTAAATTTACACCCAGTATTAAAGGAGCAGTGTAGAAATTTTAGTGCCATCTATCGGTGAGGTTGCAGATTGCAACTGACTGAATATCCCTCCTTCATATAGGTGTAGTACAACCTACAGTGGCCATCAGGTTTTCTGCCACTGCCTGCCACGATTACGTTTGCTTCTTCATGTTTTCCCATTTTTGACAGGGATTCACCTGCCTTGCTTTTTCTTGTGCTTAATAATAAGTATGATCCTCCATTTGTCAAAGTTTGGGTTCTCAAATTTCTCGCAATACAAAATGGTTAGCCAGCACCGGCAGCAACCAAGGAGTCTTCTTCTTTCTACGTCTTCCAACCAGTGCTGTAACAACACCAAACTAAGCTGCCGCTAAAAACGTGAATGGCACTCTCTAGAGCCAGTGTTTGGTTTGGCCGCTACTTTTTAAACATGGCAGCGCAACAGGGCAGCCTCTATTGGAAGCGGACCCACTCCCTATGTAGCAGTGGTGGACGACGTACACAAACCATGTACTTGAGTTAAAGTAGAGATACCCAAGGTAAAATATTACTCCAGTAAAAGCAAAAGTCCTCCCTTTAGACCTCCATCAAAACTGAAAGTACTAAAAGATTAATTATGACTAAAATGTCTTATTATCATTTTTGTAACAAGACTCTTCGTTTCATTAACTCATTTTGTGGTGGTGAAAATACTCCAGTGTCACTCTTAGTAAACCAGTCTTTTAATAGAATGTCATTAATTAGTCTGACACTGAAGTCTATTAAAATTATCATCAACGCAAACAATTTCCATTTGGTAGAACCAAGTGACTCTGAAATAACCTTTTGCGGACAAGCAAAGTTTCAGTTTAAGATTTATTTGCAACTTAGTTTAAATAAAAATGAGTTTACATTTAAACAAGTTTAAATTGAATTAAAACTTGCTTTAAACACAAATGAGTCTTCTGTTCATAAACATAAACTAGCCCAAACAAATGTACTATAAAATGAAAGTGTATAAATTTGGGAAAAAGACACGTCAGTCACAACTGCATATGTGTACATATTTCTATATTGTGGTCTATTTACTCAAAGTTTGGTGAGAGTCAGAAGTTTTTTCATCATTTATGTTGAACAGACACTCCCAAAGTGTTGCGCTGGTGTACTGATGTTGAACCGTATGCTTGCACTGGGTCGGGATGTCCAACAGGTCAAAACAAGCTCAAAACAAAGTGTGCGCTGTGCCCTGATTGGAGTTCTTGCTTTGTGCTTCTTTTGTTTTGACATGTTATGTTTTTATACACACATAAGCCAAAAGGAACGACAGATTTCGCATGATGTAGTGGAGTACAAAGTAAGATATTTGACTTTGAAATGCAGTGAAGTGAAAGTAAAAAGTCACCAAAAATGGAAATACTTCAGTAAAGTACAGCTACACAAAAAACTACTTAAGTACAGTAACGAATTACATTTACTTAGTTACTGTCCACCACTGCTATGTAGAAATGAAGGACTCATACCAAGCTAACGAAAACACAGTGGTTCATCGTTACAGGTGACTATACACTAATAAAAACATGGTATTGTATACTGTATTACTTTTCTGCTAATATTTTCCCCTAAATCTTACACACTGCACCTTTAAAGTTACACCTAGAAAATTAAGCCTAGAAAGGTATGACTGACTTAGCTTAGGCCCTGTCGGTGCAAAAGGTCCCTGGTTACGAGCCAGTGCTTGCTGTGGTAAGCTATCAGCTGTATAAGCATTTACACGCAAGGTCATAAATGTATATATATACATATATAACAATGTTAATAACTCAGTGTATCTATCACTACTATAAAACAACTATAATGAAATAAGCCCTTATTGAAGATGAATGGTTTGGGCAACCTTGAACACAAGTAGCCTGTTTCACAAGCTGACTTCCTTTTTCATTTTTAGAGGCCTTGGAAAGGGCATATATGTCGTTTCTTTCTATAGTGCAGATTACTCTGAAAAGCCACAGGGAAAAAGAATAAAATAGCAAGCGCGTCAGAAAGAAACCAATTACCTTGAATCAGGTGCTCTAAGAGTGAAGGGGTGGCTTGAGAACACTTTATAGCTGATGAAATGTAAGATTCCGTCAAAAGTGTCAGACTCATGGCTGACTCTAATATTGTTAGGACTTTGTGTTTCCTTAAACGCCTGCATGTGATGACTTCTGTAATGGATTAATCATTGGTTGATACTTTCACCTAGAAGGGATCGGTGCCATTGGTTCTATATAATGGCAGGGATTTTCATGCTGACTAACATCCTCCTCCTCTCTGAAAATATTAGATAAAGCCCTTCCTAGTTGAGACCCAGCTGGAATGCCCTCTGTCCTGCACAAAACAGGCTAAAGCAGCAACTCTTAGGACTACAGCACTAACTACACACCTTTTGTCATATGAAACCTGAACTGTGACCCAAGCCTGGGCAATATCTAAAAATAACTTTGTTAAAAAATCAAAACATAGACCTACTTTCTAATTTTAGTATATATGTTTTTATTTTTTTTTTTAACTTAACTAATTTAACGAATACCTTTAATGAAAATAAAACATGAAATAATAACTGAGTAACTCAAAGTTGAAATGGAAACTTGATCCTGCAAACACATGCATTCGTGAGCTCCTGCTGTAGTGGGTTAGTGGGTTTCTTCTCTTCATATGAAGCACACAAAAGAAACTTGCATGCTAATAACGTCCTTGTGGAAAAACTCCACATTACTAAACATGCATGAGTAAATGAGCTGTTGTTCAGCATTATAGTGGAGGTAGAGGTCTGCACTCCTGCAGATTCTTGCAGCGCAGGGCTGATTTGGGAGCAGGCCGAAGCATGCATGAAGAGAAATCCCACCAATTAAGGAAAAGCCTAAAAAAAGTACAATGATCACCAAATCACATACATAAACAATATAAATTGTTAACAGTAAAACAATTAAAATGAATGAAGTCATTCTAAAATGTTACGTAGCAGCCTATCACATGGACAACATGCAAACTGTCATTGCTTACAGAGATGGCGGAGCCTTCAGTCCGACAGCCACAGCTGCCAGGCCTAGCAAAACACCACAAATAACCATTATGTGATTTAGTTTAGGCTTTATGTAAACCGGGAATAAATAGCGAATGGCGAAAATACTTCACAGTATGCCTGACAACCATGACTGCCATGTCAACAGAGAATAACATAGTTGTGAATAGACTCTGTCAGATACTGGATGTCAGTTCACCTTGATGCCAAAACCTTTCGGTTGCGGGCAGGAGCGGGACAAATGATTCTGATTTTCTGTGGGAGTGGGCTGAAATCTTGGTGGACAGGTGCAGGACTGAAAAACACAATACCGCGCAGACCTTGAAGTGGTGGCACTCAGTGGAATTCAGCTCCAGAAATATGGCCTGTGGGAAACCATAAAGTATTATATTTTCATTTTACAACTCATCTGAACCATCAGGGCACTTTCCTCAGATGATACACCACACTCTGGGACGCA